ATCTCATTTGAAGAAACATGGTCTGCTCAGACTCCCTGGGTTGCCTGCCGCAGCTGGCTTGGTTCCCCCATGTTCAAATTCCGTGCTTTCCATGGAATAATGGAGTTTGTTTTACTATCACATACTTTTAAAATGCACTGGAGCCAGGGAGACAGAAGGGACAGGGTAGGGTGTTCACCAGGTGCACTTGCATCCAGATCTTGGCCCCTATCTTCCGGGGATAGGTGCAGCCATTTTTCTTCCTAAGAAGAGGGATTGTATCTGTACTGGGAGTGCTGTATCCTCCACTATTGACAGCTATTCATGGTCCTCACCTGAACAGAGAGGGGGAACATGGGTGTGAATTATTGGTCAGTGAAACAGAGAGTGGTAAAGGGTGTAGCTGAGCAAAGGGACTGGCTTCTGGTGCCCCGGGCTGGACACTTAATGGTGCCCAGAAGGACAGCCATTGCTCATGGACGGGTCAGCAGCTCAAAGCAGGTATTCTATTTCAGTGGAAAAACAGGCATTCCGAAATGGGTTTTGTTTTTATTTTATTGGGGGGGATTGTCCTTCATTAGAGGATTAGTAGGATCAATAGGTCAGAGTCATTTGACAAGAAAAAGTGGACAGCCCTAAGTGGTTTGGCTCAGTGGATAGAGCGTTGGCCTGCGGACTCAAGGGTCCCAGGTTCGATTCCGGTCAAGGGCATGTACCTGGGTTGCGGGCACATCCCCAGTAGGGGGTGTGCAGGAGGCAGCTGATCGATGTTTCTCTTTCATCGATGTTTCTAACTCTCTATCCCCCTCCCTTCCTCTCTGTAAAAAAATCAATAAAATATATTAAAAAAAAGAAAAGAAAAAGTGGACAAAGGTTCAGTCTGCATGTGATACATCCTTACCATTAAGGCAGGTTAAGTATAATTTTCCTGCCAGGGCAATCACCTTGATGACTAATTGCTTCCTTGGTAGCTAAAGGGCATAATAGCACTTTCCTTCGTAATTATCAGATGCGAACCATTTAGGTGTTAACCTGCGTGTGGATCTGCAAGCATGAGCTCCAGGCTCTGATGCAGGGGAGGCTGTTGCTCCCTGTGTCACTCACTCCCGAGGCAGAGGGTCCCGGTCAGGTCAGAACGTGTGACCTAAGCCCAAGGCAAGTGGAGCAGGGACATCCCCCTGGCACCTCCTGCATCTCCCTCTGCCAGTGAGAGCTGTGGTTTGGAGATGCACTTGGGAAGGTCAGGGCGAGGCATGCCGGGCTCTGGAACTGGAAGGCTGGCTCTCGCCCCTTCCCCCACTGGCAGTCGCTGAGTGTCACTTGCATGGTGGCGTGAGGGCGGTGGAGTACCAGGTGCCAAGTAGCCCAGTGGCTTTAGTTAGGGGTGTGCCCTTACCCAAGGCCATTCAGTCAGAATGCTAGGAGTGAAAAGGGTGTTCCTGAACATTCCTGCCTTTTCAGGAAAAAAACCACTTTGTTTTGTAAAAACACTCACAGAGAAAAAGAAAGGTGCAACCATCCTGAAAAATACATGAAAGGGAGAAACTTCTCTAATCTGCTAACCCTGAAGTTCACTGCCTTGTCATGCTTTCTGAACGCAGATGCATTTTGATCTAGGTTTATACTTTCCTATCGGTGGGGGGTCTGCAACCTTGGCATCTCAGGACAGTGCTCTAACCGACTGAGCGCCCTGGCCAGGGCTAATGAAACACTTTTAAACTATTTAGGTTGTGCGCAGCGTTTCCTTGGTATCAGAAGAGGCACTGGGACAGCATTTCTCTGCTCACCGAGTTTTGTGGGGTTTTGGGGGGGGGGGGTTTGCAACCTTGTTATCAGAAGAGGCACTGGGACAGCATTTCTCTGCTCGCCGAGTTTTGTGGGGTTTTGGGGGCGTTTTTTTTGCACTAGGATGAGGATTTCCTAAGGGTAAATTCGTAGAAAAGGGATTACTGAGTCAAGTGCGTGCTTCCCATTTTGATATGTTGCCAAGTTACCCACCACAAAGGTTGTTCCAGTTTATACTCCCCGTTAGCAGAAATGCATGGCTAGGTTAAGGGAAGGTACTCCCTGGAAATTCCTTTGCCATAGCTCATGTAAATACGCCACGACTGTTCCATTGCTACATAAACGCTTATCACACTGGGCGCTCAGGGTCTCCCAGACGCTATCACAGCGCAAGGCCATTGATAACCGGTGCAGGAGAAAAATGTGGCAGTGCCCACAGTGACAGCCCGCAGGGCCTTCAGCTGAG